TTAAAATCGGTATCCTCTTTCAGACATGGCGGACACATTCTAGAATGTATTCTCTTTTAGACATTTATAATCGATATCCAATTCCGGGCATGACGAACACATTCTAGAATGTATTCTCTTTTAGACATCTATAATCGATATCCAATTTCGGATATGTCAGACACATTCTAGAATGTATTCTCTTTTAGACATTTATAATCGATATCCAATTTCGGGCGTGACGGACACATTCTAGAATTTATTCTCTATTAGACATTTATAATCGATATCCAATTTCGGGCATGACGGACACATTCTAGAATGTATTCTCTTTTAGACATTTAAAATCAATATCCAATTTCGGGCATCACGAACACATATTAGAATGTATTCTCTATTAGACATTTATAATCGATATCCAATTTCGGGCATGACGAACACGTTCTAGAATGTAATCTCTTTTAGATATTTTAATAATGTGATAAAATTCACATACTCGATATCGGATTTGAGGCATTACTTATCAGATGAAATGATTTTATGGAACAGACAACCGAACTGAGATATTAATTTCTTCGATTACAAGGACAATCGTTATCTATCCTGTATATCTCCATAATATTCACTTACTATATTTCCGTTTTCTGTTAATCTTACACACCTCATTCATTAACTTTCTACCTTGAGTGGTTCTTGAGCCTAATGCCATTTACTGTCAAAAATCATATTAACATTCATGGTAAAACGTTAAATGTCGTAAAATAAAAAACAATAATTATTTTTTCATAATACTATGTCTCTTCAGGATGTAGGTGATCATGGCTCTCCACAGGTTCCATATTTATAGCAGAGTTGAGCAGTTTCCCATTTCCTTCTTCACAGAGTACTTTTCTTTATAATCTGTGAATTGCCATGGCCTCTCGGGAAAGATAGTGGAGTGGTTTCCCGTTGTCTTCTACTTGGTTTTGAATTCTGTTTTCCTTCTCCCTTTAGGATGTATGCAATGATGGCTCTCCACAATTTCCTTTTTTATTATATGTAAATTGCCATGATTTCTTGTGAAAGATAGTGGAGTGGTTTCCCGCTGTCTTCTACATGGTTTTGAATTCTGTGGTTCCTTGTCCTTTTAGGATGTATGCAGTCATGGCTCTCCACAGTTTCCTTTTCTCTATTATCTGTGAATTGCCGTGATTTCCTGTAAAAGATAGTGGAGTGGTTTCCCGTTGTCTTCTCCATGGCTTTGAATTTTGTTTTCCTTCTCCATTTAGGAAGTATGCAGTGATGGCTCTCCACAGATTCCTTTTCTTTATTATCTCTGAATTACCACATCTCCTTGGGAAATAGAATGGAGTTATTTCCCCTTGCTTTCTTCACACATTCCTTTTATCTATTACTTGTGAATTGTTCTTCATCAAAGTAGATCTCACCGTTTTTCTGTGGAAATAACTAGATGTAACCGTAAGTTCTATTCTTTTACTTTCTTTTCTCGCACTTTTCTCCTGTGGATCTTTCTTCTGGTTTCTTCTTTTACCCTAAATACATTAGCAGTTTTTTTTTTGTTTTTTTGTTTTTTTGGTTGAGGATCCGGCTTTTGGCATGTTTGGTGATGCTACAATCCATTTTGCTCATTATCTCTTGCGTTCTGCATCGTTGTAAAGTAGCTAGACTTCATCGTCCTTTACTTTTTTTTCAAAGACGAAACGTTTATTTTTATTTTTTTTACTTCCGTGAAACGGGTGGGGTTCGTTGGTTAATACGACGA